CTACCAGAAAAGAACAACTCCAGGTTACAACACACTAGGTATTTAAGACATTTACAGTTACGTTAGAGATAATTATAAAACGGAACGTACCCGTTGTTTTATTGGCTGCAGTTGGTCATTGTTTAAATGTCAAACGCTTTATCCATCGCTTTCGAGATTAGCTTAAAATGGCTTCATGCAGCCTGGAATCCCATCACCTTTAGAAGTTGAGGTATTACGAAACACATATGAGCAAGTTGTTTCTTCATTTTTTTTCCCACCCCGACCTTGACAAATGTAAATCAGAGATCGTGATCATGTGACATGCAAGATGGACATCAACCAACATCCAATGGTCATCATTCATGTGACATGAGATGAATACCTTGTCAACATCATTCAGTGTATGCGTGTGTGGCGTTGTACTTGCATCAGCTGAGATGGCCTTCATCAAATGCTTCGAAAGTGTAAAAACCAAAGCTTCTTTTGCCCTTGTGCCACATCCCGACCCAAGCCCCTATCACATCCCGGACTCGACTCTACCGTAGCACGATATTGTCCGCTTTGGGCCCCGACTACGCCCTCACAATTTTGTTTCTGGAAACTCACATGAGAACTTCCCAGTGGGTCAACCATCATGGAATTACTCTCGTGTGAACTCGCTTAACTTTGGAGTTCCGATAAAACTCGAAGCCAGTAAGCTCCCAAAAGGCCTCGTGCTAGGTAAAGATGAGAATATTATTATAAGGCTTACAGAATCCACTCCACTGAGCGATGTGGGATGTCACACGTTGCCTTTGAGTTGCCCTTACCATTTCTTGCAGCAATGGTCTCAAATTGCGAATATTCCAGTTTCATTTTTCCAGCATCAATGCGTTGCAACACAATTTCAGATTTTCCCATATAAAACAAAAACCAATGACATGTCTCGTTATTTGTTAATGAGGTGCAAAAGCGTATTAGGAACATAAATAGATGGAATGAAGGGTAACAATAATAACATAACACTTACCCATAAATAAAAGTCAACAGTTTTCTACTGCTCTTCGAAATCTCTACAACGCTCCATCAATCACTTCCTCAGAAAGTAAAGGTTGACGTTGATGTGTTGAATTAAACTCTTATACTCGTTTATAATATGGTGAACAAAAACTAGTTACAAAAGAAGAACAATTACTTACATTGCTATTCAGAGTATCTTAGGACTGGAAGAGTATGGTAAACAAATCCCGACCCACGGTAGCCAATTTGTATAAGTCCAGTCTGTCGCTAGTACAAAAAAAAAACCACAGGTTGTTAAGGATCTATGGACATCGAGTTCATACTCAATTGTTTGAATGACGACCGAAAGTGAACTTACCTCGGCGAACCAACCAAACGCGTCTAGACATCGATGAAAGCCTCCACATCCAACTTTGGGATGATCAGCATAGGACCCGTGACAACAAAAAAATCCTCGTGGGCCCAACTATTGTCAACTTTCCTTCTTTTGTAGGATTCGAGAGGGTAAAAGGGTGCACCAGCTACATTCCTTTATGCTTCCGCCCCATTTCCTTACCGAGAAGGGGCTCAGAATTAGATGGACCGGCAGCCTCGTTCACATCGACAGCTTCCTCAGTGTGGCTACTATGCTCGCTGACCTCCATGTCCTCGTCTTCCTCTCCAAGATAGAAAACTTTCCCTTCTTCCAACTCACCATCCCCTCTAAACTCCAATACATGCAGGAGTGATTAGGCGACATCATTTGCATTCTCGCCCTCAATTATCTCCAGCAAGTCGACATCAAAGTAATAAAATTCACACAGAGGGTTGTCGTTTCGATTATGTTTTTTTCCCGAGCCAACTTCCCTTCATCGGTAGAGATATCAAGTCGAGGGGACAATGCGGTGAGATCTTCATAACCTGGTCGACGTTTAGGGGAACTATCTACCTTCTCATCCTTGGGGACATTATCTGCATCCTGCCCTGACCCTACCGACTTATCAGGGGTCGGGGTCTTGTCAAATGATTTACCAACTACATCGCCTCGGAGACGCTCAACCTTGGCAGCTAACTCTATACGGGCACGCCGTTCCACCTCTAATTCCTCTACAACTTTCCTCAACCGAACATCCATCATCACGAAAAATTCTTTAAACAGCCACTTGGAAACAAACTCATACTTCTGCATATAAAAAATAGTGATTTCATATCATAACTCCACCGAAACTAATATCTGTTCAAAAACAATACAAGTGTCTAAATTGAAACTAAAATTTACAAATTTATGTACTCATTGCCGAATGAAACAACGATGGCAACTTTCCCACGTGTGTGTGGTATCCCTTCTTTGCCTTCCCTTTCGGTTCAGACGAAAAAGTGGTCTCGGAGTCATGATCAATATCCGCAACACCTTTATTTTCATCCTCTGATGTTGCATCCCTACAAGGTTGAACTCATTAAACATGACGTTCCAATAAGGCGCCTTCTTTTCTTCCTCGCTCTGAGTAATCAGCTGGACAAAAACTTGCATCCGACAAAATTAGTGTTACATACGTAAGTACAACCAATTGGTAATAAAAATTCAGTAAGTTTATTAAAATTGCAACAAACATGTATCGATTGTTAAGAACCAAAAAAAAAAAAAAAAAAAAAAAAAAAAAAGCTTGTATAGGATGGATTTAAGTTGGTGTCCCAACAGCAAATCTGCGGCAACACCTAAGGATTCTCCGTCCGTACCCTCACATAGTTTTTAGACTTCAAGTACGGCAAAGTTTCAAACAACCAAATCTACAAAATTTAAAGCGATGATGTAAATAAGATGCAGCAAAAACGAATGCAAATGTATATTCAACTTTTAACAACAAAATAAAAGAGAAATTAGCTGAAAGCATACAGAAACGCCCTCAAGTTATAGGAGTCCTAGATCACACCCTAGTTACTTAAAATATCCATACAAATCTCAATCAAATACACTGACCTAAATGTATTTGATTTCTGTGGTAAAATATCCATACAAATCTCAATGGAATAAACACACGTAAATTTTTATTTGGTTTGTATGGTAGAATATTTGTGAAAGATGGTAATTGTATTGTTTCTCTATTTGCTCTTAATTACTACAATGAGGTTTTCTAACATTCTAACTTTGCTACCCAAATTTTGTGGACTCACTCAAAGAGTAAGTCTAAAGAGACTACCCACGTGTATTCCCGTCTTGATAGCAAGTGGAATACACGTGGGTGGAGAGTCTGTTTAAACTTGCTCTTTGAACGAGTCTTGCTAGCATTCCCCAAGGTTGAAATTGAATCTTCAGTAGTTTTTTTTTTTTTTTTTTTTTTTCAAAACAAAGAAAATAATTTCAAAACGTACTTTATATGTCCCAAAGAAACACATTAAATTGGGTAGCAATTTACAGTGAGCTATCATCAATCCCATTTTCCTCCCTTTTTCAATCACGGCCTTTCTAATTTCTGCAAGCTTGAAAGTTCTGCCGCGAGCCATGGATCCTGGTGATCCTTGTAGGGAAGGAAGCAGCAGTGTTTCAGGTAAAAATCTCAGAATCCATGGTTCATAATATTGATGATTCTCTGGGCTTTTATTGGTGGAAATCCTATGTCAACTTCCTTGCAGTAAATTCGTTTTTCAATGCAATTGTGTGTCCAAGCGTTGGGGTAAAGTCATTTCTACTCGTCATTTTATTTTCCATTTTCTAAGTCTGCAACGTGATTTGCAAAATCCCATGTTTAGCATTCTAGTTGTGGGAACTGGAATCTTCTTTCCAAGCATTACGGATGAGGATCTAACTCCGAAACTGCGGCTACCACTTCTGGAAGCAGAGACATTATTTGGGCTAGGGGCATGTAATGATTTGCTTTTGTGCGGCCCAACAAAGGATGATCAGCTTGAGTTATACATATGTAATCCATATACCAAGCAATGGGTTGCTGTTCCTCCTACCCCAGAAGTCCAAAACAAATGCCCTCCCGCCGGATTCATTTGTGAACCCTACTACAACTACTCCAAGAAAGACGACTTAGACGACAATGTTAATGATCATCATTGCAAACCACAACACAAACTTAGTTGTACTAGTACCTCTACCACTTCTTATACTAATACTATCATCCAGCTGAATGCTGAGTGGTACAGGTGGAGGGTTATGCGAATACTTCGAGATGGCCATGTCGACATGTTCTTTTCAAAGACTAGTTATTGGAGAAAGTCGGTTAATGTAGCATGCCCGAGGGGTTATCCTGAGATTTGTAGCAGTGGCGTTGCTCACAATGGGAAGTTGTATTGGCACGGCTCTGATGAGTATACAGCTTTGATGATTTTACAGCCTTTACTTTTGAGCTGGATCCATTCGGTACTACTGCTGATGGTCATATTATTGTTGATAAATGTCATATAACTCTGGGGCCAGTTGAATGGATGGATTTTCGACTAACTGCAACTTCGTTTCATATGCCTCTTGGTTCAAGCCAAGGGTGTCTGCAGGTGTGCCCGCGAAACATAAGAAAAGTGGGGCAACACGAAGGGATATATCTACAAGAAAACAGGCTTTAGGTGACGAAATTATTTGTGGCGCTCAGAAATTTATCAAATTAAGATAAAATAAGTGAGGGTTTTTAAACAAGCATCACATAAAGATCTTTGTGGTACAAAAAATTCTTTTAAGCTTCTGTCCGTCACATAAGAATCTAAAATTCGTCACGAAGTCGAGTGCAGAAAATTTTACCGCTCAACGAATTGAGAATGAGTGACGAAAATACATAATTCGTCATGTAACATAAGAAAATGCAACATAAATATATCTGACGATAACCAACGCATCACCTATTCTATTAAAATTAGAAATAAAAAATAAAACAAAACCCCCAAATCGAAAAATCCCATTTGTTTTGCCCCCTAACTGTCTCACCCCATTCGTCTCTCGACCGTCAGCTATCCTATCGACTCTGACGACTAGGGGTGGGCATAAAAACCGCCAAACCGTAAAACCGAATCGAACCGTATGGAAAAAAACCGAAAAGAACCATGTTAACCGGAAAAATCAACTTTGAGTCAAAAACCGAACCGGACCGTTTCAAACCGGTTCGGTTCCGGTTTCAAATAAACTGGAACCGGCCGGAACCGAACCAAACCGTTTTATTAATAATAAATTAACTAATTATATATATGCACACATGTCATGATATAATAGGTTAGATTGAAAAATTAGTTTCACCAAGTTGCAAAGCAGTGAATCCCACCCTCATCCTCACTCACGGCCTCATCAGTCATCGCCCATTTCACACTTTTAGACTTCCATTCCTGTAGGCTTTTTCACTCTGCCGAGTCGCCGCCCACCTCACTCGCGGCTCTCTGCGACGACCCTCGTCATCCCTCATCCACGACAACTTCGTCCTCCGTCCTCCATCCTTGGTATTTTCTCTATCTTTTCTCATATTCTCTCTCTACACCCCTTCGTCAAGTCTCTGAAGCATTCACTTCTTTGCATGCTGCGGAGGACCTCTTGCTTCACTCACCTTCCCCACTTCAGTCCCCACCGCATCGCATCCGAATTATCAGGTTCGATCATTTCTTGAAACTTTGTTTTCGGATTGGTGAATGGTGATTGATTGCGTTGTCGATTCAGGTGCTCCCATGGCTTCCACGCAGAGTGATATCTTAGCTTCTCGCGAAAGGATCTTCAAGAACGGTATGGCTCATTGAGCTTTTGTTTTTCAAGGTTTGGGTTTTTTTGTTTTTGCCTCTTTTTTTTGAAGCTTTCATGACCCCGTGTAATATTGGCATATGCTTCCTCAGAACTATAATTACTTTGATTTTGAAAAGAATTTATTTTATTTCCTTGGTTTGGGTTGTAAGAAACTCCGCCTATGTCTTACATGGCCGGTCCCAAGCCCGGATAAAGGAGGAGGGGGAGGGCGTCAGGTAGTCGACAGCCGGCACTCCATGATCACGTCGAATCCTTATGAAAATGAATCCAGAACAAAATCGCGCTAAAGCTAGGGCTTCACCCGTAAGTGGCGCGCTGTGTGGCCCGAGCACAGTGATAAGTGAGCAAGGGTCGCTGTATCTCCATCGGCACCCGGATGCAGTGTTAAATGAGCAAGGGGGCCATAGAAACTTCTTTTCGAACGACTCCACTCAAAGTTGTTTGGGAGCATATGCTCCTATCAACTTTACCCGGGAAACACAAAAGAAGTACTTTGATCCTATTAGACGGGGGAGGGTGAAGAAGCTAGGACAGAAGGGTAGAGTTCAAGAGAGCAAAATGCGTTTAGGAACGTGGAATATAGGAACCTTAACGGGAAAATCTATGGAAGTAGTGGAAGTTATGGTGAGGAGAAGGATAAATATTATGTGCCTACAAGAAACTAAGTGGGTTGGTAGTAAGGCAAAGGATCTAGAAAACTCAGGGTTTAAACTTTGGTATTCGGGCACAAATAGAACGAGAAACGGTGTTGGCATCATCGTGGACAAGACCTTGGTACAAGATGTTGTAGATGTCAAGAGGGTAGGAGATAGAATCATGGCAATCAAGATTGTAATAGGACAAGAACTTATCAATGTGTGATTAGTGCGTACGCACCTCAAGTAGGGTTGGATACGAGTTCGAAGGAGAAATTTTGGGAAGATCTTGGAGACTTGGTGCAAGGAATTGCTCAGACGGAGAAGTTATTTATAGGAGGAGATTTAAATGGACACGTGGGCAGGGAGACAGGCAACTATGGAGGTTTTCATGGTGGCCATGGTTTTGGGGAGAGAAACGAGGATGGGGAAGCTATCTTGGATTTTGCAATGGCATATGATCTCTTCTTAGCCAACACCTTCTTTAAGAAGAGAGAAGAACATGTGATCACCTACAAGAGTGGGTCGTCAAAAAACACAAATAGATTTTCTTCTAATGAGGAAAGGGGATCGTATAACTTGTAAGGATTGCAAAGTTATACCAGGAGAGAGCGTGGCTAATCAACATCGCTTGTTGGTGATGGATGTACATATCAAAAGAGTAAGACAAAAGAACAAGACTTGGAAGTGCCCAAGGACTAGATGGTGGAATCTAAAAGAAGAAAAACAAGCCATTTTCAAAGAGAAGGTAATCACCCAATGTGTGTGGGATAGAGAGGGGGAAGCTAGCCAAATGTGGGATTCCATGGCTAGTTGTATCCGAAAAGTAGCAAAAGAGGTATTAGGAGAGTCCAAGGGCTTTGCCCCACACCAAAAAGGAATCTTGGTGGTGGAATGAGGAGGTACAAACAAAGGTGAAGGCTAAGAAGGAATGTTGTAAAGCCTTATACAAGGAGAGGACCGATGAAAATGGTGAAAGGTATAGAAAAGCGAAGCAAGAGGCGAAGAAAGCTGTCAGAGAAGCTAAGTTAGCGGCTTACGACGATATGTATAAACGACTAGATACCAAAGAAGGAGAGTTGGATATCTATAAACTAGCTAGAGCAGCAAGGGAAAAGAAGACAAGGGACCTAAACCAAGTGAGGTGCATCAAGGATGAGGATGGAAAGGTTCTTGCTACAGAGAACGCGGTTAAAGACAGATGGAGAGGTTATTTTCATAATCTTTTCAATGAAGGACATGAAAGGAGTGCTTCTTTAGGGGAGTTGAGTAACTCAGAAGAGTGTAGAAACTACTCTTTTTATCGTCGAATCCGGAAGGAAGAAGTGGTTGTAGCTTTGAAGAAGATGAAGCATAGAAAAGCAATAGGCCCAGACGATATACCAATCGAAGTGTGGAAAGTTTTGGGAGAGACAGGTATAACATGGCTCACTGACCTTTTCAATAGGATTTTGAAAACGAAGAAGATGCCAAATGAGTGGCGAACGAGCACTTTGGTGCCTATCTACAAGAATAAGGGCGACGTACAAAATTGCATGAACTATAGGGGTATTAAGCTAATGAGTCATACAATGAAGCTCTGGGAGAGAGTCATTGAGCATAGATTGAGGCAAGAGACACGGGTTTCGGACAACCAATTCGGGTTCATGCCAGGGCGCTCAACCATGGAGGCAATCTATCTCTTACGAAGATTGATGGAAAGATATAGAGATGGGAAAAAGGATTTACACATGGTCTTTATAGATTTGGAAAAAGCGTATGATAGGGTCCCAAGAGACATTCTTTGGAGGATTTTAGAGAAGAAAGGAGTACGAGTAGCATATATCCAAGCTATAAAGGATATGTATGAAGGAGCAAAGACTGCCGTAAGAACTCATGAAGGACAAACCGAAAGCTTTCCCATAACTGTAGGATTACATCAAGGCTCATCCTTAAGTCCTTACCTTTTTTGCGTTGGTAATGGATGAGTTAACAGGACATATTCAAGATGATATTCCTTGGTGTATGCTTTCGCAGACGATATAGTGTTGATAGATGAAACTCAGGAAGGGGTAAATGCAAAGCTTAACCTTTGGAGAGAAGAAGTGTTGGAATCTAAAGGTCTTCGCCTAAGCCGATCAAAGACAGAATATATGGAGTGCAAGTTCAGTGCAAATGGAGGCCAAAACGAGTTAGGGGTGAGGATCGGAGATCAAGAAATACCAAAGAGCGACCGTTTTCGTTACCTAGGATCTATCTTGCAAAAGAACGGAGAATTAGATGGAGATCTCAACCATAGAATACAAGCTGGATGGATGAAGTGGAAGAGTGCATCCGGCGTGTTGTGTGACCGCCGTATGCCACTGAAGCTCAAGGGAAAATTTTATAGGACGGCAATAAGGCCGGCGATGCTGTATGGCACAGAATGTTGGGCGGTGAAACATCAACACGTACACAAAATGGGTGTAGCGGAGATGAGGATGCTTCGTTGGATGTGTGGGCACACGAGAAAGGATAAGATTAGGAATGAGGATATCCGGGGTAAAGTAGGAGTAGCCGAAATTGAAGGAAAGATGAGAGAAAATCGGTTACGGTGGTTTGGACATGTGCAAAGAAGGCCTACTGACGCTCCGATTAGAAGATGCGACTATGGGACAGAGGTTCAGGGCCGAAGGGGTAGAGGAAGACCTAGGAAAACTTTGGAAGAGACTCTAAGAAAAGACTTAGAGTACTTGGATCTAACGAAGGACATGACACAGGATCGAGCACAATGGCGTTCTAAGATTCATATAGCCGATCCCACTCAGTGACTTGGATTTTCCAAGTCTCCAACCAAGAGAAGTTTTCCTCACTCGGGAAATTAAGGGAACACTACCCCAACCTACATGCTCCACTCAGAAAGCTTCAACATACAAGCTTCAACAAAAGAAAATTCAAAGAACTTAGCGAAGAAGGCTTTGGTGTATTTAACACAATACGTTGAAATGAAGGAAAGCTTATTTATTGATATCCCCGATAAGCTACAAATATGTACATATACATGAGTCAAAATAAACACACAAGAGGGAGCCTTCACAAAGGTTGCTTAGGAGAAGTCTCAGCAGTCGGTAGAGCCCCAGAAAGAGAAGGCACCGGAGGGGGATCATTTGGAGCCTCAGTACTGGACAGAACCCTAGAAGGAGGAGGCATCAGAGGTTGATCATTTGGAGCTTCATTACGCGGTACAGCCCCAGAAGACGAAGGCAATAAATGCCTTTGGAACAAACCCACAAATCTCTGATGATCAAGTAAAACCTGACCATCAGTTTCCTTCATCTGGTCAAGCTTCCTCTTCATGTTTGTAGCATAGTCATGTGCGAGCCGGTGCAACTGTTTATTCTCATGCTTGAGCCCTCTAATCTCCTGTTTGAGACTCATCACTTCAGCCGCCAATGATTCAACTTGGCGGGTTCGAGCAAATAGGCGTTGGGCCATATTAGACACAGAACCTGCACACTGAACACTGAGAGCCAGCGAATCCTTAACAGCTAACTCATCAGACCGTTTGGAAAGTAGTCTGTTATCTTTGGGAGTGAGAAGGTTCCTGGCCACCACCGCAGCGGTCATATCATTCTTCATCACGGAATCCCCAACGGTAAGAGGACCAGTTGGGGAGACGAAGGATGGGCGCCATATGTTGTCTGGAGAAGGCGGGGCTGCCTCTTCAACAAGGTTCAAGTCAAAACGACGGTCGGAGGGGCCAGACATTTTCAAAGGTGTTGAAGAGAGAAGAGGTCGGACAAATCAAGATCTTAGAAGTGCAAGAATGAAGCTTCTACTGGTGGAGATTCAAGTGTGCTTTGGAACTTAATGCCAGCCTCCTATAAAAATCTGCACTCGACGGAGCTTCAGAAATCGAAAGAGGCGCCTGCTCAGAAATCGAAGAGGCGTTTGCTTTCTCAAAAGTTGGGCTGCTTAGAGATCACGAGGGTTGATCTCAGAAATCGAAGAGGCCGTTTGCTTTCTCAAAAGTTGGGCTGCTCAAAAGACCACGAAGGCCGATCTCAGAAATCGAAGAGGCGCTCGCTTTCTCAAAAGCTGGGCTCCCTAGAGACCACGAGGGCCGATCTCAGAAATCGAAGAGGCACCTACTTTTTCCAGCCTTGTCAGCACCTGTCACACGCACACTCAGCTTTGCGGAAATTATGGGCATTCTGTCAAAGACTTCTGGGGAAGTAGAAAACACATGAATCTTACTGTTCAATCACCCACTTCCCACACGCAACAATAGCTCATGGGTACCACAGATAACTTTGCCAAAGTTCTCTGCCAAAGTTGAGCACGTGAAGCTTGCAGCTCCCACTACATCGCTCTGACCAAGAAGGGTAAAAGAATAGCAAAGAAACAGCACTAACAAAGTTTAGACCCATAAATTTTGAAGGTCTAGCTACCATATTATTACCCACAAGGGTAAAGGAACAGTACCACTGCTGGATAATTGGAAAGTCCATGTATGTCAACCTCTGTGCTTCGTGGCAAGGTAGACTAGCAAACATGCCCAACCTTTACTCACATTCGAGAAAACACTCCCAATAAGATTGCTTGCTCCAAAATCGAAGAGGCACCGTCCTCCGAATCTAAAGAGCCAGACTCCCAACATGACTACTTTCTTAAAAATCGAAGAGAGGGTAAAGGAACAGTACCATTGCTGGATAATTGGAAAGTCCCTGTGTGTCAACCTCTGTGCTTCGTGGCAAGGTAGACTAGCAAACATGCCCAACCTTTACTCACATTCGAGAAAACACTCCCAACAAGATTGCTTGCTCCAAAATCGAAGAGGCACCGCCCTCCGAATCTCGAGAGCCAGACTCTCCCAACATGATTACTTTCTCAAAAATCGAAGAGACACTGCTCCCCGAATCTCGAGAGCCAGACCCCCAGCATGATTGCTTTCTCAAAAAATCGGTGAGGCACCGTTCTCCGAATCAATCGAAGAGGCGCTCGCTTTCTCAAAAGCTGGGCTGCTCAGAGACCACGAGGGCCGATCTCAGAAATCGAAGAGGCACCTACTTTTCTAGCCTTGTCAGCACCTGTCACACGCACACTCAGCTTTGCAGAAATTATGGGCATTCTGTCGAAGACTTCTGGTGAAGTAGAAAGCACATGAATCTTACTGTTCAATCACCCACTTCCCACACGCAACAATAGCTCATGGGTACCACAGATAACTTTGCCAAAGTTCTCTGCCAAAGTTGAGCACGTGAAGCTTGCAGCTCCCACTACATCGCTCTGACCAAGAAGGGTAAAAGAATAGCAAAGAAACAGCACTAACAAAGTTTAGACCCATAAATTTTGAAGGTCTAGCTACCATATTATTACCCACAAGGGTAAAGGAACAGTACCACTGCTGGATAATTGGAAAGTCCATGTATGTCAACCTCTGTGCTTCGTGGCAAGGTAGACTAGCAAACATGCCCAACCTTTACTCACATTCGAGAAAACACTCCCAACAAGATTGCTTGCTCCAAAATCGAAGAGGCACCGTCCTCCGAATCTCGAGAGCCAGACTCCCAACATGACTACTTTCTCAAAATCGAAGAGAGGGTAAAGGAACAGTACCATTGCTGGATAATTGGAAAGTCCCTGTGTGTCAACCTTTGTGCTTCGTGGCAAGGTAGACTAGCAAACATGTCCAACCTTTACTCACATTCGAGACAACACTCCCAACAAGATTGCTTGCTCCAAAATCGAAGAGGCACCGCCTTCCGAATCTCGAGAGCCAGACTCCCAACATGATTACTTCCTCAAAAATCGAAGAGACACTGCTCTCCGAATCTCGAGAGTCAGACCCCCAGCATGATTGCTTTCTCAAAAATCGAAGAGGCATCGTTCTCCGAATCTCGAGAGCCAGATACCACAGACCACTTTTTCAAAGTGCTCTGACAGAGTTAAAACATGTGAAACTGGCAGCTCCCACTACCGTGCTATGACCAAGCAGGGTAAAGGAATAGCATTACTACTTGTTGTTAGGGAGACTCCTATATATGTCGACCTCCATCCCCAACGGACAGGCAGACCTGCAAAAATGCTCAACCCTTCATCATATCTGAGAGGGCACTCCCAACAAAGCCTTTCGAAATATTCAGCTTTCTTTCCCCCCGATAATACCTCTGCAAACAAGCTATACTAGAGCAAGAATATCTCATATCATCAGGGTTAAAAGCAAGAGTATCCCATATCATGCTTTTTCCCTGTCTTTTTCTTTTGGCCTTGTTTTTACCTGCAAGACAAGGAGAAAGAGAGCAATCAGTCAGCACTTGGAATCAAGCTTCCAGCCAGGAACTGACTGCCTGGAACCCCTTACCTGATTACTTACCTGGCATTGCTCTCGAGTACTCATCTTCAACATCTTATGTTTCCAGGGAAGATTCCGCATCTGCTTGAGGAACAGATAGGGCAAGTGCGAAGGATACAAGGAAGCATGTGGAGACAAGCGTAACAGCACACGTGCCGATACATCCATTACTCTGTCAAAAGCAAAAGTATCCCATATCAGCAGGGTGGAACGTACTCTAGATTTGATGGACTTGTTTTGACCCTCAAATTCTTCAGTCGGCCTTATACTCTGGAGGAAACCAGAAAACCCTCCAGCTCAGTTCAAGAATAAGCCTGTGGAAAGTTACTTCTTCAAAAGCAAAAGTATCTCATATCATCTCTTCTCATTTTTCTTCTCTTTATCCTTCATGCTGCTGCAAGATGGGGAGAAGGTGAACAATCAGTCGGAGCTCTGATTGCTTACCTTGTCTGTCACCTCTTTCAGCAGACCCCCTAGCTCGGCGACTTGGGGGACTCCTACTACATGGTTTGTATCGCGCTTGACCAAGCCTGAAACTACAAGTAAGCTTCAAGTGAAATTGATACATTACCTTGTGCATCTCCACCAGTTAAAGATACCACCCCTGGATGGAGGAAGAGTACTTCCAGAGAAGATGCCACATCTACCTATGAGACAGATAAGGCAAGTCAAGACGACACCACACTCCGATACTTAGAAGTTTCGTGATTACGAGATCATTCTCCCACAATATTTCCTAATGTCATTTGTACTAAATCATTCACTCGTACTCACTAAAGGAGAGCTTGAACCTATGTACTTGTGTAAACCCTTCACAATTAATGAGAACTCTTCTATTCCGTGGACGTAGCCAATCTGGGTGAACCACGTACATCTTGTGTTTGCTTTCCTATCTCTATCCATTTATATACTTATCCACACTAATGACCGGAGCAATCTAGCGAAGATCACAAAAAGCGACCGTTTTCGTTACCTAGGATCTATCTTGCAAGAGAACGGAGAATTAGATGGAGATCTCAACCATAGAATACGAGCTGGATGGAAAGAGTGCATCCGGCGTGTTGTGTGACCGTCGTAGGCCACTGAAGCTCAAGGGAAAATTTTATAGGACGGCAATAAGGCCAGCGATGTTGTATGGCAGAGAATGTTGGGTGGTGAAGCATCAACACGTACACAAAATGGGTGTAGTAGCGGAGATGAGGATGGATGCTTCGTGGGATGTGTGGGCACACGAGAAAGGATAAGATTGGGAATGAGGATATCCGAGGTAAAGTAGGAGTAGCCGAAATTGTAGGAAAGATGAGAGAAAATCGGCTCTGGTGATTTGGACATGTGCAAAGAAGGCCGACTGACGCTCCGGTTCGAAGATGTGACTACGGGACAGAGGTTCAGGGCCGAAGGGGTAGAGGAAGACCTAGGAAAACTTTGGAAGAGACTCTAAGAAAAGACTTAGAGTACTTGGATCTAACGGAGGGCATGACACAAAACCGAGCGCAATGGCGTTCTAGGATTCATATAGCCGACCCCACTTAGTGGGAAAAGGCTTTGTTGTTGTTGTTGTGGTTTGGGTTGTAAGAAGTGCTAGCATCTGGGGAGTGGGAGGGCAGGAACACGATTTTCTTAAGAAATCTAGTTTGGGACTTGGAGTAGACATGGAACTGGAAAATAAAAAGGTTGTAGGGGTTGTGTATCAGCATTTCTGGTCAATCAACTAGAAGAAAGCCTTTAGGTTGCACTTTCAATTGGATGTGTGCAGATGTTTGATTATGATTTTTTATTGCTTTTTTTTGTGCTTATCGAACGAACACTTGGGTTTCATAGGATTTATGTTTATGGTTTTGGACCTTGGTTTTTGTTTTTCTCTTGTGGCTGATATCTTGTATTTTATTTTTTACGAGTTCTATTTGGTAATAAGTTCTTGTTTCCTACTAAAAGAACAAAATATTATGTATTTCTCATCTCCACATTGGAGATGGGCACCTCTCTGGACATTGTTCTTTCATAAGACAGTCTTGGTTTTGAGGATGTTTGGTATTTTCAGGCTTGCCCTTGAGATTATTATCTTTTGTTGGAATATAATGCTCTGTTCTTGGGGAGGTAACAAGAAAGTTGTGGCTCTTTGGAGGTGTATGATATTGGCTCTTACATGGAGTCATGGACTGTACGGTTGAACTGAAATAAGTAATGTTATTTTTTTCTATTATAATGCAAATTGAGGAAGCTGAGAACTAAAAGTACCCCCACAACAGAAATAATATAAAATGAAAAGTAGTATAACGTAATTGTCTAATTGGGGTCATTTTGATTGAATGGATGTCCTCCCTGTACAGTGGCATTGAGGCATATACATTACTTAGCCCATTCGCAAATAGACGATTGAGACCTAATCTATCGTTCTCATTTCATCTTGGGAGGACGTATCATGTATATCATGCTTAAACCTTCTGTCCTTTTAAATAAAGATTTTGTGTCCACTTTCCATTTGAAGCGTACAGATGTTTGATTAATTATCTTCTATTGTTTCCCATTTGAAGCTTTTCGTGAAATTTTGGAGCGAAGGGCATCTGGACACTCTTGTCTTCTACTGTTTGATTAATTATCTTCTACAGTTCCAGGTTAGTTGAACTTAATTGTACTTGATTAATTATCTTGTCTCATATTTAGCATATTTAGTAGTCTGGAGATGTATTTGAATGCATGATGATTTGGTGTTCAAATAATTTAATATTCAGAACCGTAAACCGGCAAGAACCGAATCGGAACCGGTGTAGACCGAACCGTAAGGTTCTAGTAATAAATTTAAACAGAACCGCACCGAACCGAACCGTTGATATTTTTCGATTCCAATTCCGGTTTAAGGGTAAAACCGCACCGTACCCACCGTACTGACGACTAGCCAATTGGTGGTTTGCCATAAGCGGCGACCATCTCCTTTCCTCCGTCTTCCTCTCTCACAACTCTCTAACCCTCTCCGCCTCGCTCCTCGGTATCTCCCCTCTCTGACCTAACAAGAAGATTGGGAAAGATAAATTTCGGTGATTCTGCTGTTTCTAACCTTCGTCGAATTCTCCATCGATTTCTCTCTTCAGCGGTCTCTCTCTAATAGCGGCTGAAACATTCTTGAACTCTGAGTTTCAGGTGCGCGCTCCATATTTCTCTTATTTCAATTGATTTCTCGAACTCTTATTTCGATTAGTTTTTTTATTTTGATTTCAATTTGTGATTTGATACTGATTTTACTTTTCTTTTGATTCTGATTTCGATTGTGAAGTCGAAATTCTACTTTGAAATTTCAGTTTTTAGGTATATGATTTTGAATTTGAGGTTGGGATTTAGGGTTGCGATTTGGGGATGAGATTTGGGTTTGGAATTTCTGTCACAGAGGTCGTTTAGATTCAGGTAATTTAATGTTAGTTTGAATAATTATTAGGGTTTAACCTTTTTAATTTCTAATATGATATTTGCTTCAATTCTATTATGTGATTGTGCCGAGGTGAGATTAGAAAGTATTCTTTGACAAGGAGCTTTGAAAATGAATGAGATCAGTTTCCAGTTACTTTGTTTACTGATTGATTTCCCTTCACTCTTCTTTCTGCATAACTCGTTATGTAGAGGTCGTTATATTTTTCACTAGCCTCCCAGGTTCTTGAGATTGTAGAAAATTTCGGTGTAGTAAGTGATCTTTCCGGAAAGGCAAGATTGTTCGTGGTTCTTCCTATGGCAATATTGGTTGCGTTCTTCGTTCTTTGGATATTTACTTCCCTCTCTGCAACTTTGAATCAGCTTCAGGTACTTTAATTTTCATTGTAATGATATCAGTGAATTATTAGTTTTTCAAATATAATATGCTCAAATTATATTTTCCATTTCACTAAAATGAAAGAATAAAGGTACTTGAATATATAGGAAATATGAGAACCAACCTTTACTATTCAACTATAGATGTGGTATATGCCGGCTACATGTACAAATTGCCAAATTGCCAAAATGGTTGTTTTGCTTAGGGGTCCAGGAGGAGCTAGAGCTTCTTGAGGAAGCGAGTGAGTTGGAAGCCATGTAATTTGTTGTACATTCCTCTTTGTCTATCTCTCTCATCAAATTTCGTGATGTGACCAGACACACAGAGATGGATATGGATATACAATACAACATGGGATAATGTAAGTTTTTCTTATGTGTTAACAGATGTTTCTTTTGCAATTTTTTTTTTTTTTTTAATAATTTATATTGGTTTTTTTTAGCCTTAGATCAAAAGTCAGTGCATGTTAAAGAGGAATTTTTGTTTGTTCCATATAGTACTTCAGCATTAACAGGGAAATGGGTTCTTCTTCTTAATGAAGTTTCAAGTAGCTTAAGCATTAATTAATGAGTGGTGCCAAATTAAAGTTGTTCTACGATGTATATTTTCTAGCATTGCTTCCAAATTAGGATAAAAGGAATGACCCTTTTCGGATAAGGTGCTTTTCATTGCTAAATTGTTGATTTGGACATCAATTTGTTTGCCATTTGAGTATTAATTAGTACTAATATGCCTTCTGGTATATTGTCCCTACACATGGAAGCTTGTGCAGAAAAAATGTCAACTTACAGAATCAGACACCAGTAAGTAAAATATATGATTTCATTGTGAATGTGGATGATTTGACAGGGTCGATTGACAAAGTAAAGATTTGGTAATGGTTATCTTAATAACTTCAGAAATAACGTTTGATCAAATTTCACGTCCATCATTCTTGTGTTCTACTCTTTTTATAGCTCTGGAGGGACACTTTGTGACGTACTGATTTGGAAAATTGAAAGATTGTCATGTACATAATGTTTTACGTTGTAGTTTAAGCTTAATTTTCACTTTTAAGTAATTGTTTAGTCTATATGACAAAACTCTATGCGTGATAAGGCCTCAGTAAGTTAGGTCGAATTTCCTTTCTGTGTTTTTACCTTTATGTTCTCCATCATCATCCCATTCTGAAAATGGGCAAGGCTAGATATTTGAGATTGTGCCAGTATACAGGTCCATATTTTTCCCTTTACGGTTTTAGATTCCAATGCTGTTCGATAACATCATGTACAAAATGGTATTAAACAGCTACTATATATGGTACGTTTAAAGCTCAAATGCATGCTGATAGCAACTCAATAGTTTAGGTCATTGTGCATTCATTTGACCACATTCGAATCTTAGATGATCTCTCCTTTCTGATATTTTCTTTTCAAATGATTCCGCACATCTTTGTTCTCCTCATACATTTCCTTGCTTATATCTAGCCTTTGGATCAAATAAAAAAGAAAAACTAACGGAAATAAACATGAGTGTCTAGTATATTCTTACCTCCATATGGCGTTCTAAGATTCATATAGCCGATCCCACTCAGTGACTTGGATTTTCCAAGTCTCCAACCGAGAAGTTTTCCTCACTCGGAAAATTAAGGGAACACTACCCCAACCTACATGCTCCACTCAGAAAGCTTCAACATACAAGCTTCAACAAAAGAAAATTCAAAGAACTTAGCGAAGAAGGCTTTGGTGTATTTAACACAATACGTTGAAATGAAGGAAATCTTATTTATTGATATCCCCGATAAGCTACAAATATGTACATATACATGAGTCAAAATAAACACACAAGAGGGAGCCTTCACAAAGGTTGCTTAGGAGAAGTCTCAGCAGTCGGTAGAGCCCCAGAAAGAGAAGGCACCGGAGGGGGATCATTTTTGGAGCCTCAGTACTGGACAGAACCCTAGAAGGAGGAGGCATCAAAGGTTGATCATTTGGAGCTTCATTTACGCGGTACAGCCCCAGATGACGAAGGCAATAAATGCCTTTGGAACAAACCCACAAATCTCTGATGATCAAGTAAAACCTGACCATCAGTTTCCTTCATCTGGTCAAGCTTCCTCTTCATGTTTGTAGCATAGTCATGTGCGAGCCGGTGCAACTGTTTATTCTCATGTTTGAGACCTCTAATCTCCTGTTTGAGACTCATCACTTCAGCCGCCAATGATTCAACTTGGCGGGTTCGAGCAAATAGGCGTTGGGCCATATTAGACACAGAACCTGCACACTGAACACTGAGAGCCAGCGAATCCTTAACAGCTAACTCATCAGACCGTTTGGAAAGTAGTCTGTTATCTTTGGGAGTGAGAAGGTTCCTGGCCACCACCGCAGCGGTCATATCATTCTTCATCACGGAATCCCCAACGGTAAGAGGACCAGTAAGGGAGACGAAGGATGGGCGCCATATGTTGTCTTGAGAAGGCGGGGCTGCCTCTTCAACAAGGTTCAAGTCAAAACGACGGTCGGAGGGGCCAGACATTTTCAAAGGTGTTGAAGAGAGAAGAGGTCGGACAAATCAAGATCTTAGAAGTGCAAGAATGAAGCTTCTACGGGTGGAGATTCAAGTGTGCTTTGGAACGTAATGCCAGCCCCTATAAAAAATCTGCACTCGACGGAGCTTCAGAAATCGAAGAGGCGCCTGCTCAGAAATCGAAGAGGGGCGTTTGCTTTCTCAAAAGCTGGGCTGCTTAGAGATCACGAGGGTTGATCTCAGAAATCGAAGAGGGCGTTTGCTTTCTCAAAAGTTGGGCTGCTCAAAGACCACGAGAAGGCTGATCTCAGAAATCGAAGAGAGCGCTCGCTTTCTCAAAAGCTGGGCTCCCAGAGACCACGAGGGCCGATCTCAGAAATCGAAGAGGCACCTACTTTTTCCAGCCTTGTCAGCACCTGTCACACGCACACTCAGCTTTGCGGAAATTATGGGCATTCTGTCGAAGACTTCTGGGGAAGTAGAAAACACATGAATCTTACTGTTCAATCACCCACTTCCCACACGCAACAATAGCTCATGGGTACCACAGAAAACTTTGCCAAAGTTCTCTGCCAAAGTTGAGCACGTGAAGCTTGCAGGTCCCACTACATCGCTCTGACCAAGAAGGGTAAAAGAATAGCAAAGAAACAGCACTAACAAAGTTTAGACCTATAAATTTTGAAGGTCTAGCTACCATATTATTACCCACAAGGGTAAAGGAACAGTACCACTGCTGGATAATTGGAAAGTCCATGTGTGTCAACCTCTGTGCTTCGTGGCAAGGTAGACTAGCAAACATGCCCAACCTTTACTCACATTCGAGAAAAACACTCCAATAAGATTGCTTGCTCCAAAAGCCAGACTCCCAACATGACTACTTTCTTAAAAATTGAAGAGAGGGTAAAGGAACAGTACCATTGCTGGATAATTGGAAAGTCCCTGTGTGTCAACCTCTGTGCTTCGTGGCAAGGTAGACTAGCAAACATGCCCAATCTTTACTCACATTCGAGAAAACACTCCCAACAAGATTGCTTGCTCCAAAATCGAAGAAGAGGCACCCGCCCTCCGAATCTCGAGAGCCAGACTCCCAACATGATTACTTTTCTCAAAAATCGAAGAGACACTGCTCCCGAATCTTCGAGAGGCGACCCCCAGCATGATCTTTCTCAAAAATCGATGAGGCATCGTTTCTCGAATCAAAATCGAAGAGGCGCTCGCTTTCTCAAAGCTGGGCTGGCTCAGAGACCACGCAGGCTCGACTCAAAAAATCGAAGAGGCACCTACTTTTCTAGCCTGTCAGCACCTGTCACACGCACACTCAGCTTTGCAGAAATTATGGGCATTCTGTCGAAGACTTCTGGTGAAAGTAGAAAAGCACATGAATCTTAACTGTTCAATCACCCACTTCCCACACGCAACAATAGCTCATGGTACCCAGATAACTTTGCCAACTTCTCTGCCAAAGTTCCTGAGCACGTGAAAGCTTGCAGCTCACTAAATCGCTCTGACAAGAAAGGTAAAAGAATAGCAAAAGAAACAGCACAACAAAGTTTAGACACAATAAATTTTGAAGGTCTAGCTACCATATTATACCCACAAGGGTAAAGGAACAGTACCACTGCTGGATAATTGGAAAGTCCCTGTGTGTCAAACCTCTGTGCTTCGTGGCAAGGTAGACTAGCAAACATGCCCAACCTTTACTCACATTCGAGAAACACTCCCAACAAGATTGCTTGCTCCAAAATCGAAGAGGCACCGTCCTCCGAATCTCGAGAGCCAGACTCCCCAACATGACTACTTTCTCAAAATCGAAGAGAGGGTAAAGGAACAGTACCATTGCTGGAATTAATTGGAAAGTCCCTGTGTGTCAACCTTTGTGCTTCGTGGCAAGGTAGACTAGCAAACATGCCCAACCTTTACTCACATTCGAGACAACACTCCCCCAACAAGATTGCTTGCTCCAAAAATCGAAGAGGCACCGCCCTTCGAATCTCGAGAGCCAGACTCCCAACATGATTACTTCCTCAAAAATCGAAGAGACACTGCTCTCCGAATCTCGAGAGCCAGACCCCCAGCATGATTGCTTTCTCAAAAATCGAAGAGGCATCGTTCTCCCGAATCTCGAGAGCCAGATACCCACAGACCACTTTTTCAAAAGTGCTCTGACAGAGTTAAAACATGTGAAACTGGCAAGCTCCCACTACCGTGATATGACCAAGCAGGTAAAGGAAATAGCATTACTACTTGTTAGGGAGACTCCTATATATGTCGACCTCCATTCCCCAACGAACAGGCAAACCTGCAAAAATGCTCACAACCCTTCATCATATATGAGAGGGCACTCCCAACGAAACCTTTCGAAATATTCAGCTTTCTTTCCCCCCGATAATACCTCTGCAAACAAGCTATACTAGAGCAAGAATATCTCATATCATCAGGGTTAAAAGCAAGAGTATCCCATATCATCGCTTTTTCCCTGTCTTTTCCTTTGGCCTTGTTTTTACCTGCAAGACAAGGAGAAAGAGAGCAATCAGTCAGCACTTGGAATCAAAGCTTCCAGCCAGGAACTGACTGCCTGGAACCGCTTACCGCTGATTACTTACCTCTGGCATTGCTCTCGGAGTACTCATCCTCATCTTATGTTTCCAGGAAGATTCCGCATCTGCTTGAGGAACAGATAGGGCAAGTGGCGAAGGATACAAGGAAGCATGTGGAGACAAGCGTAACATCACACGTGCCGATACATCCATTACTCTGTCAAAAGCAAAAGTATCCCATATCAGCAGGTGGAACGTACTCTAGATTTGATGGACTTGTTTTGACCCTCAAATTCTTCAGTCGGCCCTTATACTCTGGAGGAAACCAGAAAAACCCTCCAGCTCACAGTTTCAAGAATAAGCCTGTGGAAAAGTTACTTCTTCAAAAGCAAAAAGTATCTCATATCATCTTCTCTCTCATTTTTTCTTCTCTTTATCCTTCATGCTGCTGAAAGATGGGGAGAAGGTGAACAATCAGTTGGAGCTTTGATTGCTTACCTTGTCTGTCACCTCTTTCAGCAGACCCCCCTAGCTCGGCGACTTGGGGGACTCCTACTACACATGGTTTGTATCGCGCTTGACCAAGCCTGAAACTACAAGTAAAGCTTCAAGTGAAATTGATACATTACCTTGGTGCATCTCTCCACCAGTTAAAGATACCACCCCTGGATGGAGGAAGAGTACTTCCAGAGAAGATGCCACATCTACCTATGAGACAGATAAGGCAAGTCAAGACGATACCACACTCCGATACTTAGAAAGTTTCGTGATTACGAGATCATTCTCCCCCACAATATTTCCTAATGTCATTTGTACTAAATTGTCATTCACTTGTACAAAATCACTACTCACTAAAGGAGAGCTTGAACCTATGTACTTGTGTAAACCCTTCACAATTAATGAGAACTTTTCTATTCCGTGGACGTAGCCAATCTGGGTGAACCACGTACATCTTGTGTTTGCTTTCCTATCTCTATCCATTTATATACTTATCCACACTAATGACCGGAGCAAATCTAGCGAAGATCACAAAAAAGCGACCGTTTTTTTTCGCTACCTAGGATCTATCTTGCAAGAGAACGGAATTAGACATGGATTAGATTCGATCTCAACCATAGAATACGAGCTGGATGGATGAAGTAAAGAATGCATCCGGCGTGTTGTGTGACCGTCGTAGGCCACTGAAGCTCAAGGGAAAATTTTATAGGACGGCAATAAGGCCAGCGATGTTGTATGGCACAGAATGTTGGGCGGTGAAGCATCAACACGTACACAAAATGGGTGTAGCGGAGATGAGGATGCTTCGTGGGATGTGTGGGCACACGAGAAAGGATAAGATTGGGAATGAGGATATCCGAGGTAAAGTAGGAGTAGCCGAAATTGTAGGAAAGATGAGAGAAAATCGGCTCCGGTGATTTGGACATGTGCAAAGAAGGCCGAATGACGCTCCGGTTCGAAGATGTGACTACGGGACAGAGGTTCAGGGCCGAAGGGGTAGAGAAAGACCTAGGAAATCTTTGGAAGAGACTCTAAGAAAAGACTTAGAGTACTTGGATCTAACGGAGGATATGACACAAAACCGAGCGCAATGGCGTTCTAGGATTCATATAGCCGACCCCACTTAGTGGGAAAAGGCTTTGTTGTTGTTGTTGTTGTTGTTGTATCTTTCTTCCACTTATCCATCATACAAGAGAGATTTCAAAACCAAATTGTACACGTCTAGTTAACTAACTTTTCTTTTGTATGTCAGGTACCACTTGTGCAAAAGAAGAACGAAGAGTTGAGAGTGCAATGGATTTGCAAAAGGAGAAAAAAGAGGTTATCGCACATTGAAGATTTCTTTGGTAGCTAGTCAGTGGTAGACAAACAACACAGGGTAGAACCTTTTTGTTAGCACCTCAATATGTCTAGAGAGGTGTTGAATTGACACCATAAGTGTACTTGACTTGTTAGTTTTGGGAATGTTCATGTTAGATTTTGAGACACTACAGGTGTATATATTCAACTTATGTCATTAAATTCTTGATTAATGAAATTGTGATTGACTGAAGCACTACCTTACATTTGTTATGAATTCTAATTCCAAATTAGAAAACAAGAATATGTGGTAATTGGTTCATCACATATAGGAAACTAATAGGTATTTGATTTTGACATGTGTTGCACGTTGCCCCACATATCAAAAGAATGGGTCACGATTTTGGCGTCACTCACGCACATGATAGGTGAAGAATTTATGGGTCGCTAAATTTTGTATTTCGTGATGCCTAATTCGTCACATATCTCGTTGACGCAGCATCTTAATCAATTTATAAGTGGCTGAGGTGGCGTCACATATACATAAGATTTGTGACGAATGTAAAATTCGTTACGTAAACTTTCAATGACGCCTCATAGGTGACGCTGGTAATGACGCTAGAAATGCGTCACATATTATCAAACGTGACGCATTTTCACTTTATGTGACAAATATCTGTCGTCACATAAGCCATGTTTTCTTGTAGTAATTCAAACACAAACAAAACTCGAATAACGCTCTGCTCGATATATCCAACTCAAGGGATCGTCTCCTTCTATGAATCTGGGAAACTCCATATTCAAGAATGGTGTACGAGCTAGTGGATTGTAATTTGGACCAAAACCTTGACGATTATTGGGGCCAAAATTAGGGTTCGTCCCATTTGCAAGATTGGGATTTGCAGGCGTTGCTTTCACCAAATGAACCTCCACTTCCTCTTGCTGGGACCGATTGCAACTGCAACAAGATCATATCTTGACTGGTTTTGAACTCTGTTTTGAGGTCAGCAATCATGGTTTCAAGATTAGAAACGCAGGGTTCCATAGCTTTCCTGGTAGCTTGACTCGCCATACAACGATGAAGGATTGAGGGGAATCAGACAATTAACTGATACCAATGTTAGAACCCTGCTCCACTTCTTCACTATTGTAACAAGATATTTGTATTATTTCATCAATCAATCACTAGGGTTGGTATTGGTACAATTATTGTACCAAAACCCATGTACCAATTACCATACCAAATTTTTGGTATGACAAAATCTAATACCATTATCGTGACAAACTTTCGGTATACCGAATTTCGGCATGACAAATAATTCGGTTGGTATGGTATGGTAATGATAATTATTACTTTATTTTGGGCTACTCTTTTGGGCCAAAACCTGTTTTTTTTTTTTTCAACCTAATTCAAGGCCCAAACGTGTTTTGGTCACTCTATTTGGGTTTCTAAAACTTTTTTTTATTTAATTATGAGAATTTCACAGAGATTCATTTAAGAAAAAAAAAGTACATAGATGGAAGAATTGCTGAAAGAACCCAGCATCACTAAAGAAAATAGTACAAAGATTCCTAAATTCCATTTCTACATTATTTAAAATTGTACAAAAATTAACTTGATAGATGAAGCCAAGTAGAAAGACAACCCAATTTGATGAAGGAGAATGTGAGATGGACTGCGAAGAGAGAGAGTTGCCGGAACGGGAGCCATGGAGATGAAGTCGATGGCAAGGTGAGTGAAAAGATGAAGTCACAAAGGCAAGAAGGCTTAGGTTTTTTTTTATTGAGAAAGTAGAGGTTAGAGGATGAGAGGATGGTTTTGGATAAATGACTAGGAAAAAAATAATATAAAGTGCATATATAATGATAATAATACCTAATTATATATATATATATATAAATAAATAATATAATATTAATAATAGTGGTACAGTACCATATATACCATTGGTAATAGTTTTGAATACTATTATCGTACCGAAAATGTGTGGTACGGTACAAATACCGAACCATTACCAATGGTATAAAAATTTTAGCACAACCTTAGTATGGTACGGTTGGTAATTCTTTTAGTATGGTAATTTGGCAAAAAAATCCACCCCTATCAATTACACAACAATCTTCATTTAAAAGGTCTTCATTTATGTCGATGCTCGAAACTTGTTACATTACCGAATAAGGTGAAGTCTAAAGTTTCATGTAGTGTACAACCACTTCCTTTGGTGCTTCCAACTAGCACAAGAATTTCACATGACAGTTACATATCTTTAGCGCTTCCCAATCTTGAGCAATTAAACGTCCAGGGAGGCAATTTATCAGAAATGAATTTCCTTGCTACTCTTGATTGTGTGTCTACCTTATTCAAACTTGATGTATCGGGAAGCTATTTTGTTAGTCTTCCCGAATGCATTATCAAATTTGTCAGCTTGAGGATGTTAAATGTAATGCACTTTCTCCCTGTTAGTTGTATCAATTGTTAAGTCGAGTTGTGTCACTTGAGAAGAGTTGTATCTCTTTAGATGTTTAGGGTTGTGTTTGCAACTCTTGGAGCTAATCCAAGAACTATGTCTGTTATGAAAAGGTCTGAATGTTATTATAAATTGCCAATAAGATGGCCTAGTGTTGTAATCAATAAAGTCAGTTATCAATAAAGCTTCAGTTTTCTGTTTAAAACTCTCTTCCATATTCTCTCGTATTCGTCTTCCTCCTACAGAGGATTCTAAACTTACATGGATGCAACAGGCTTGAGAAAATTCCAAAACTTCCTCCGAAGGTAGGACGTGTCGATGTCAGTGATTATGTATCCTTGGCAAGATTTTCAAAATTGTCAAACATTTTGGAACTTGGAGACGCACAAATGTTTAACTGGATGGACTTGTCTAACTGCCAGAGACTCAGTGACAATCTTGCTAATGATGTTGCGGAAAGGAAAAAAATATTATCGAATGGCAAGGATGAAAAGGAAAATATCCATACAAATAAACTGACCTAAATGTATTTGATTTCTACGGTAAAATATCCATACAAATCTCAATCGAATAAATACACGTAAATTTTTATTTGGTTTGTATGGTAGAATATCTGCGAAAGATGGTAATTGTATTGTTTCTCTATTTGCTCTTAATTACTAGGCTGAGGTCTTCTAACATTCCAACTTTGTTACCCAAATTTTGTGGACACTAAAGGTTGAAAGGCAAATGCTAGCAAGACTCGCTCAAAGAGATTCCGGTCTTGATAGTAAGTGGAATACACGTGGGTGGAGAGTCTATTTAAACTTGCTCTTTGAGCGAGTCTTGCTAGCATTTCCCAAGGTTGAAATTGAATCTTCAGTAGTTTTTTTTTTTTTCAAAACAAAGAAAATAATTTCGAAACGTACTTTATGTCCCAAAGAAACACGTTAAATTGGGTAGCAATTTACAGTGAGCCATCATCAATCCCATTTTCCTCCCTTTTTCAATCACGCCCTTTCTAATTTCTGTATGCTTGAAATTTCTGCCACGAGCCATGGATCTTGGTGATCCTTGTACAGAAGGAAGCAGCTGTGTTTCAGGTACAAAAATCCCAGAATCCATGGTTCATAATATTGATGATCTCCCTGAGCTTTTATTGGTGGAAATATTGTGTCACCTCACTGGCGGATCCATGTAGGGACCTGGGGGGTCCTGGGATCCTTCGGAAGCCCTAAGAAACACTTGTGATCGACCTTCGGAACCCTCCAACAATTTGGGCAGGTGCAGTGGAGAGGCTTGTTGCCTCCATGGATGTGCAGGCAGCAGTGCTTATAACAAAGAAGAAGATGAGGTTTTTAATTTTTGTTTTAAAAGATCTAGCGAAAACGACAACGCTTTTAGCTTGGTCATTATAAAAAAATTTAAAAACTAAAATATCTCTGTTTTCTCTACAGAGCTCGAGAACCCCGATCTTTTCCAATATCCCCAAATTATATCTAAGAACTCTCAACCCCAATCGTCGCAACCTTCCAACTTTAAACCCAAGTTACCCTATTCCCCACCATTTGCCATTCTACCACCTTTAGCTGCCTAATTTAATTTCTTCCAAATTCATGTAAGTTTTTTTTTAATCCTAGACTATAGTCTCAACTCCCAATTAATAAGATATATGTTACATTAGCAAATTTTATCTTTGTAGAGTCACTAATTGCATTATGTTGCTGAGGAGAATTTGTTGGTTTTATTACTCTTGAGATTAATCTTGATTTATTCAATGAACCAAATTCAGTAGAAAATAGTGATTTGGAACCAAATTAGTCTAATATATATATATATATATATATATTTTTTTTTTTTTTTTTGAGCTTTTATGTTGGGACATCCCGATCTTGAAAACCTGGATCCGCCACTACCTTGCAGTAAATTCATTTTTCAATGCAAGTGTGTGTCCAAGCGTTGGGGTGAAGTCATTTCTACTTGTCATTTTATTGGACAAGGATTGTCTGCCCTCCCGTGCCTTCCTATTTGTGTGATCATGGTTAGGCCACGTCAACATTTTATATTACTATTCATTTTTGCCTTATTATCTTTATAAAAAAAAACAATATAAAATGTTGACGTTACTTAACCGTGACCACACAAAACAAGAGGGCACGGGAGGGCACCGAAAGTGGAAGGCCAGACAATCCTTGTCCCATTTTATTAGCCATTTTCTAAGTCTGCAACGTGATTTGCAAAATCCCACGTTTAGCACTCTAGTTGTGGGAACTGGAATCTTCTTTCCAAGCACTACGGAGGAGGATCTGACTCCGAATCTGCGGCTACCACTTATTCTGGAAGCAGAGACATTATCTGTGCTAGGGGCATCTAATGATTTGCTTTTGTGCTGCCCACCAAGCGATGATCAGCTTGAGTTATACATATGTAATCCATATACCAAGCAATGGTTGCTGTTCCTCCTCCCCCAGAAGTCAAAAACAAACGGCCTCCCATCGGATTCATTTGTGAACCCTACTACAACTACTCCTCCAAGAAAGACGACTTTATCCCACAACTTCTTGCAGAGTTTCTTAATCCCACAGGTTACTCACACATTTGTTATGCATAATGGGACGTGTTGAAACAAGTTTGGGGATCATTTGGAATTCTACAATGGAACAAAAATGCATCTTTACTGCTGCTCTCCTCACCTACACAAATTGGTGTGTTCTTTCCTTTTCTTTATGTGTCTTTATTTCATTTTGTATTTCTTTCCTTCCATTTTTATATCTTATTGTTCAAAATTCCTTTCATTATCATTGGGGACAAT